AACCTTTTTACTCCACAACACCAGTCAAATGCTTCCTTTTGTGATCTGATGTGGCTTCTTGTCACAGAATGAGGTAGAAAATATGTTCTATACTGTAAAAAGCATATGGTAAAAAGGCTACATCGATTAGCAATGGATTATAAGAGATTTATACATTGCAATTTTCTTGGCCGATTCCGATTTCCGATTTTTTTGTTAGTGTGATCTGCCGATACCGATTTTTGCCGATTCCGATTTTCTTTATAAGAACTATAATTGACAGCATATACAAACAAAATCTATTTTTCTTCAACGCAAAGTTTTGTTTTAATAAAAAAACACAAGTAAAAAGTCAGTAATAAAATAAGAACAAATAAAAAAATTGCAAACAACAGCACAAATAAATGCAATAGAATAAAGAGAGATATGAAACTAAGGCCATGTCCACACGTACACGAATATTAATGTTTTTCCTTCTTCCATTTTTCAAAATATCTCCGTCCACATGAAAATGCAAATGCATGCTATGAAGCACTGTCAAGAGCATGCCAAACCAACAGGTGGCGATATAACAGCGCAGGCTCTGACGTCACAAGCCAAAATTTTTGGGCTTTTCACCCTGGCAGGAGTTTTCAAAAATGTTCGGTTTCAGTGACCTGGTGCTGCGTTTGCGTGTGGACGAATGGCCAAACCGCGTAGAAAAAGCGGCGGCATTTTGAAAATGTTGTATGTATTTGACCGTTTTAGCGCAGTTAGCCACTCATTTTGGTATTTGTGGCTCACAAGCCGTTTGAGACTGAGCGCGGCTTGTGCGCTCCACTAATATAGATCAGTGGTGGTGTGCGCGCTTTTGGTGTAAGCGCGAAACCTGCGGGAATGACTAAAATAATGCGCAATACAAGCACTATTTAACCGGAGCAAATGAGACGTGTGTGTGAGAGAAGGGGTCGTCGGAGAGAAGAGAATGAGAATGCGCGGCTGACGTTATTGCCCATAACGGTTGGTAACAAAACGGATAGGCTCGGAAAGAAGTGAGACTGACCGACCGGTCACGAGGAAAATCGGCCGATTCCGATCCCTGTCCGGTCGATCGGTGCATCTCGAATTATAAATATACTTAATTATGATGAAAATACCAGAGATGGCTTGAATAACACAGATAAACTATACATTGTCAAAGTCAAGTGTTTATTGTCTTTGTTTTATCATTCAAAACGTTTATATCGTCTGTTTACTCAGTTACAGCGATAGCAATGCCTGTCCATATTAGGGATTTCCAGAGTTCTATTCCTTCTGTGATGCATATGTGGAGTTTCTGCACGAGGGCGCCCTCTGGCGTCCAGTATGAATGAAACAGACATTAAATGTGTTTATAGCGCTCAATGATGGCCAATCCATCCTATTTTGGGTAATTTTTTTTTTTTTTTTTTTTAAGTATCGGTTCAGGCACTGGTACTGTTTTAAACGTATCGATTTGGCACCGGTATCGGAAAAATCCCAAACGATACGCAACCCTAGCCATATTGCTGCAGAGCCCAGGGAGCAGTAGGGGGTTCGGTGCCTTCCTCAAGGCGTGATATTGAGGGTGGAAGAGAGCGTTGGTCATTCACTCGAACTCGCAACCTTCTGGTTTTCAAGTCCGACTTTCTAACCATTAGGCCACCACTGCCCCCACGTCATCAAAATCCAGTTGGTTACACAAATTTGCTACATTGACCAACAGAAAGCTGCTTGATTTGAAAGTGGCTCCTGTGTGAGCTGTGCCTCATACATTGCTACAATACTGACAACAAACAATGAATCAATTTTTCCTTCTGAAACTTTGTTGAATTTTATAAGGTGTGGCCTTTAGGGGGAAAAACTGAGGGAAAAAAATGTGTCATAAGAATAATCATATTTCTCCCGCAGTGTAAGCTACAGAAACTTGAAGGTGAGCTCTTTTGACATGGGACAGTAAAATTGCACCTAGAAACCAGACAAAACATCTAAACAACCATCCAGGATACCTTGGCAAGATCCTAAACTCCCTGGAACAACTTAGCAATGGATTAGCAAACACTGCAAGAGTTAATTAACAGTGAGCTTTACACAGGCAGGAAAATGTACCTAGTGTAAAATCTATTTAAAAAAAAAGTAACATGCTCTCTACAACTCAAACCAGTTATTTCACTTCCTGTTCATCATTACAGATCTTCAAAGCAATAACTGATGCTACGGGATGTGTTTCTCTCCCAAAAATGCATATTGTATATTCCACCCGGGCCGAAATTACAGCTGCTGTCTGTGTTTCTCTCTTTCTGGCTAGAAGTTTTAAACGCACAACAAAAAGAAAAGTGACTTTAAAACACTTCACTATGGTCCCTTTTAACTTGAGCATTAAGTGAACACCCATATTTTCTGCTTCCATTTGTGACACTGGGGCTCAAGTTTAATGTTGAGAATCACAACTCTAAATGGGGCATCAAAGATTATGAACATTTGCCGCATGCTGTGGTCGAGGAAGAGAGAGCGTGAGACAGAAAGGCTGAAATGGTTTCAAGGCTGATTTAAAGAACACCCACACACGCTAGTTTTACACTTTTTTCACAGTGGGAAGTGGACTGAACATGCTGCCTGACGGCGTGCCAAATAGTAATAACTAAGGTCATCAGTGTGAGCTGAAGTCATATTGATCTGTCTGAATTGTACTTCAACCGAAAAATAAAGTGAAATGAGGTGTGATGATTTTTACTCTCTAACAGCTTTACTTTACAAATCCTGCCAAAAGGTGCTATTACACAGTAATGTAGGCCTATGCAATACAGGAACCACATCTACCTGATTTAGCTAACTAGCATGGAGCAAAACATGGGCAACTTCGCAATGTACCACAAAACACTGCACATCAATCTCCAAATATAGCTGCCATTTTTTTAACTAGTAGTAGTACGGTACCAAAAATTTACTTTTAACTACATGTTGTCATGAACAACACGTCACTAAAGACATTGACTTAAATTTCACGAACTTTAAAGTTTAAAGCATAGGTCTTCAACCTTGCTCCTGGGGACCCACTTTGCTGCAGAGTTCAGCTCAAACCCTAATCAAACACACCTGAACCAACTAATCAAGGTCTCCAGGATCACTTGAAAAGTCTCAGGTCAAGTGTGCTGATACAGGTTGGAAAGAAACTTTGCAGGACAGTGGGTCCCCAGGAGCAGGGTTGAAGACCTATGGTTTTAAAGTGTTCATGACATCCCTGATTCAAAATAATTTTTGTGAGTTGAGCAATTCATTAAAAGAACAGGTTCTTAAGACTCGTTTGCTCATGAATCGGACTACACTGGTTGTGCTGCGCTGTATGTTTGTTTTGTGAGGTCAGCTCAGTAAAAAAGCTGCATTTTCTTGCCATTATTCTGAGGCTCAATGTTCTTTTATCAAATCATACTCGATTTAGACTGCAAAATGAGTAAAACATTTATTTTGTGGTAGCACTATAGATTCAGCTCTCTGGTAAATTTAACAGGGTTCATGTGTGAAAGGATAAATGCTCAGCATACATAAAATATACAATTAACATTTTTGAAATCTCTATGCAATATTAAGACTTCTGAAAGAAACTGATACCTTATTCACTAATGCTGCACTAAATTGTTCAAAGAATTTTCAGTAAAAATAATGTCACAAAGGATTATTTATTTCTATTTTAAATAAATGCTGTATTCTTCAAACTTGGGCACTAGTTTCTTAATAAACTGACTTTCTGTAGCACTTCACATGGCTTTGATTGGCAGTTCTCGCAAATCTTACTATCAAATTGTTCCCATTACCTCAAACCTAGTTTCAGTCATCAATAACACCCGTCTAATCATTTACTGTCCATTCTAAGTTGGCCATTCTACCATTTTTTCTTATTTACCAACTTCAGATGAAGTTTTTTCTTTTTCTTTCTGCTTACAGGGCCCACAACCCAGTCTGCTCTTCACAGTCTCTGATGAATCTGCTGTTTGGCATATACTATTGAACAAAGCTGCCAGTTGAGGACCTGAGGGGTGTCTGTTTCTCAAACTCTGATGTGCTCTTGCTGGCATGCATCTGGGCCGCCCCCTTCTCTCTGTCCTGTTTAAATCCAGTATGCCGTCTTAATTCAAGACGGCACTGTACACTCACAGATGGAATAGCCTTCATCTCTCAAAAGAACAATAGACTGATGAGCTTCTAGAGGAAGCTGTTTCTTTGAAGCCAAAATTGGACTACAGAAATGTCAGTGTACTGGCATCACTTCAGCAACAGAAAAAAAGACATTGTGTTGCCAATTCCATACTTCATTAAGTAGCACAACTCTTTTCAACTGTGGTGGGATAACAAACAAGCTTTCTTTAGTACCAAATTGGAAGATTAAAATGACTACTTGAGGATGAGGGAACAGGGTTTTCTTATAAGCTGGAGTATTGAGGCTTTGAAATCAGAGGTTAAAGCTGAACAGTTCACCCAAAAATGAAATCAATTACTCACCTTCCTGTCATTCCAAACCAATATCAAACCCACATCATATATGGTAAACAGCAGCTCTACCGTACTTGCTTGATGCACAAAAACAAACCTCAATGGTTCTTGCGGAAGCTCCAAAGTGCTTGCGTGACATGCGAGAAAAAACCTCATTGGTTATTTATTATGTGTCAGGCAAGCACTTTTGAGATTCCGTTTACCATATTTGATGTACTCTATGCATGTCCACTGATCAATGTTTATATGTGAATAAAAGCCTAAATTAAATCTGTTCATCATATAATATGATTGTGTCTCTTTGTAAGACTTGGATTAAACCACTCGATTCATATGGACTTCTTTTACAATCTTTTTATGAACCTTATGAATTTGGTGTAATGGACTTTCAGTGGAAAGCATAAAAGTTGACCATGTTAAGGACGGGTTTTAGAGTAGCGCTGATCCGACAGTGGAAACGCAGCTTGATTTTGGCCTCACGGCATGAGGTGCGAGACTATTGGCGCCAGCACGGCTCATTGTTAGCCCTGACTCGCACTGGCCCAACAGTGGAAAAGCAGATATCAAGACCCACATCCCTGAGATCATATGGCATGACTTTTTTGCATATGCCAGTCACTCACCTTTAGGTAGGAACCGTAGTATTTGGTGACAAAGGGACTGTCGCACTGGCTTAACACTGTGATTTCCTGCTGAATGTCTTCAATCTCATCTTCAGCCTCTTCCAGATCGATGATCTTGATGGCCACAACTTTCTGCGTGCGATTGTCGATGCCCTTAAACACCTCTCCGAACGAACCCTTACCGATTCTCTCCAGCTTGGTGAATAACTCCTCAGGATCTGCTTTTAAATTCTGCAATGAAGAACAAAGACAATTCAGTATAGGTCTCCATTTAGCTTTATGCAGATTAAACAATTTACAAATTCATGTAGTACTGTTAAATCACATAAGGTAAGAATTCCATACAGAAAAGAGCCTTGTGCTCAACACTGCATAAAAGGTTCTATATTTTAAAGGCAGGAAGAGTTTTCTACCCTACAGCAATCCAAGTAACAAGAGGATGATCAATACTTAAAATGACCTCAATGTATCACTGAAATGGTTTTGGTTAAACATACTGCAATGATACTTCTGAACAGTCTTAAGACGGGCTTTTATAATCCAGAGTTTGGTTTGACTAGAAGTTCTTTGAAATGCTACTGAAGCAAGACCTGAGTATGTTTGAGAACTGAAGCACATCTGGTTGGGACCAAAAAGTTCCCAGAGGTCTCAGCCATGACCCTGAACATCGCAGACCCCTGAGGCCTTCTTAAAGGAAACACAGAGAGCGCTATGAACAGCGTCAACATTATTAGCATGAGGCAGTTTGTTGCAGAGTCCACGGTGGTTAAACTGAACAGCACTTGAATAAATAACAGCAGAGCTAACCAATGAAACCTGTAAACCTCAGACTGCTCTAACTTTAACACATGCTAACTTAAGCCTCCAAAACCAGTCCAAAACATCACCGCCACTTCATCAACATCATTCAAACAAAGCAAAACAAACCATGCTAGACTAGCCATCAGTGTGTCCAGAATGTAAGACAATCCTGAACTGCTGCCGTGTACATCCTCTGAGCACGCAAAAATTCACGACCTTAAAATCCTCCAAATCTCTTTTGCTAGCATAAACGCTAAACCTACCGAACGCAGAGTCATATTGATGCCGAACACAACAACAGAACAGCTTGTCCAGTGCAATATCAGAGGCGCTGTGGGAGGTACATGCAGGCAGGATTTCATGAAAGTGTAAAATCCAGTTAAATGGATGACAACAGAGCTGATCGTCCACAGCATTAGTGTGCCAAAGATACAAGATGAAAGACAGCAGCCTAAAGGACATTATTCTAACGCCTCATACCTCAGGGTACCGTGAATGAATGGAAATCTGTTTAGGAATATCTTGGCCATGCTTTGGTATAAGGCTGAAAGAGATGATCACCTCTAGCAAAGGTTTAAAGTGATTGAAGATGTGTTTTCCATTTCATTTTATACAAATAGCACTGGTTTCATTTATTCAAGTGCTTCTCAACTGGTTTCATTACAGGATCCAGATTTTGCATTTCGACACTACACAGTACCAAATACTGTTTAACATACATGCCCTTAAAATCAAACACTTAATAGTATTAAAATCAGAAGCATTTTCATTAACAAGCAAAATTATCAACAACTTAAGCTGGATAGGAAAACTGATAATTACGTTTCTAAATATCTCTTGAATTTCTATGGTTATTGTTAAACCCATATTCAGTATACAGTATTGTTCCAAAATTTGGGGTCAGTAAGATTTGTCTTTTTTTTTGGAAAGACATTTTTATTCAGCAAGGGCAAATAAAATTGATCAAAAGTGACAGTAAAGATATTCATAATGTAACAAAAGCTTCTGATATCAGCTAAATGCTGGGGTTTTGAACTTTATATTCAAAGAATTCTTCGAAAAATATATATCAGTTTCCACAAAAATATTAAGCACACACAACATAAGTGTTTCCAACATTAATAATAAAGTTATTTTAATTGTAATAATATTTAACATTACTTACTGTATTTTGATTAGATAAATTCAGCCTTGATGAGTATAATTTTTTTCATATTTTAACGGATGAAACAACCTAAATATGTTTGCATCGGTCTAATTTGACTAGATTCTACCAAGGGAATTTACAACAAAATGCCACAGATTTTGATTGGGCACTCAGCTTTGACTTAAACAATTACAACCTTTTCTTTCTTTTTTGCTATGCTGAGTAGTTGCATTTTTCCTACACGTTTCTCAGGTGTTTGAACCTCCCTGAACAAACTCAGCTGAGAACCACTGCTTTAAACACAAATCAACCAATTGCAGCACAACAAGCAATATACTCAAAAGATGACAAAAGCCTTTATGAAAGAGGGAAAAAGAGGCCAGTGAACAGTAGTCACTGTGATAAATGACACGTGCTGACAAGCATCTTGGAGACCGACTGCCAGTCTGCGCTCTGTCAACTTGATGCCATCCTATGAACACACACAAATCGATTTTCTCAGACACAGATGATTTTTGCACATCTTTCCTCATAGCGCACACACCCACAGAAAAGCCCTTTAATGCATCACTCAGAGATTCATTAGCTGTCATCTACCCGTCCCATCACAGAGATGATGAAGGCTTTGCTCCCTGATTCAGCCCTAATGCTGATTGCTTGCCTACACTCCCATCTGATCTCCGTAATCCTGATCCCGATGCACACTGACAGGTGTAACAGCCAACAAATTCTTTTAGAAGGCCACGTCATCCCTTGACTCCCATCTGTGGTTGTGTTTTAGGGAGCTGGAAACTCTGAGGCTGGCCATATGAGGTGTGTTACAGCCAGGTGAGAGCATGCGGGCCTCAGAAATGTTCCTAATGGATGCCCACCACAATTCCTCTGTGACCCATAAGGAAATACTAGAGAATAGGCGCTTATTCCATCAATATGCTCTCAGAACTAGTGACTTGTAGCCCTCCCTATGGAAGTCTGTGACCTCCTTCATAATTCCGGTTTTCCTCTTCTCACATGGACACTCTTTGGTTTTAAGGGCCTCCTTACAAGATGGAGGTTCTGCGCCAACAATGGCTTCCTGCATATTCAACCTAAAGGAACGATAAGCCATTTCAGCTACTTGGTATGGCAGATTGCTCTCCTGTCCTGAAGGCAAACTAGTCATATGGCCCAGCATGAATAGAGACCCAACCAAGTGACCTAGTTATGATGGCTACTCTCTGGAGACATCTCTCCATCCCTCATCATCGCCCTCTTTCCTTTTGTCTCTACCCTTCCACGTCACGTTTTCCTTTCTTTCTTGGATCTTTGTGTTCTGAAGAACAGAATGGTTCTTCACTGGTACTGTCCCACTTCATACATGATCATGGTTCATAAAGGATGTCCCAGAAAGGTTAAAGCTCTCTAGAGGGCAAGAACATGAAAATTTTAATAGAATGACCCTGAAAAGGGTTCTTCATTGGAACTGTCCTACTTCATACATGATCTTGGTTTCAAATAGGATGTCCCAGAAAGTTTACAGTGGTGCTAATGCTCTTTAGAGAACTAGAACATAAAAAAAAAATATTTAATGGACATGCTTTCTAAATTGTTGTCCTCCAAGCTTCGCAGATGAAGGACTCAAAGCCTCTTCTGTTAAGCATCACATATGCCGTGTTTCTCCGTAAATATTTGAAACACAGTAAACCAAACCTAATCAAGCCACCTCCAGTACACTACTACATGGGTTTACAAACAGGCATCCAGTGACCCCCAGGGCCCCTGGGAGCACAAGTGAGTATAAGCGGATTCATGAAAAAATTCAGAGAAAAAAAAAGTTAAAATAAATAATACAATACGTTAGAAAAGTAAACGACATAAATAACAAAATAAACACATTCAAATAAAATAAAAAAAGATTTTAATTAAAACATCTAAGAGCACAGCACTATAGTGAGCAGAAAAATGTAATGCAACAATATTTTCATAAATATTTTTCCAAATAATATTTCGCACATATTTGTAATTTAATCATTCCGAGTATAAATTGGATCCTTATGTATGAAAATACATAGCTGCCTTTAACATTTTTAGAATGGGGGGTCCCTCGCACAAGGATGATCATATTTGGTGATCCAGTGGAATCTAAAAGACTGAAAAGCCCGAACAACTGTAAGTTATCATCACCCCATCACCTCATCCTGCAAGTACAGAGCAATATAACGAGCTTATTGATACACTGCATAACACATGTTTGTGTTTACCATTATTTACAAAGAGGGAGTCAAACAGATTTCTGATATTCTGCAACTTATCAGAGAGTGAAAACTCTTATGCTAATAAAAGTGAGGGACATTACACAATACATATACACTTTATATGTTCCACGGTAGACTATAAAAGATGCTGTGCGTTTCTTTACCTGCATCCCAGGCAGACTGCCCTGCACTGGAGAATGAGCCATGGCGTCACTTTAACCACTAAAACTGGCCAGCAAGTCAACAAAAAACACTGTTTCCGGACAAAACACAGCTAATGCACCGCTAGATCCCGTTTGCCCGAGTTTTAACGCGGTCTCAGCTATTTTACAGCTGGATAATGGAGCGAAGAGCATCCACGGGAGGACAGAAAGTGCATTTGAAAGATGACTGGCGTGAAAACCTCTCCTCCACTTCCGCAGCTTTAATGAGAGCCGCTGCACTTCCTCGCGGAAATCACCGCAAACACCAATCAAAACAGCGTCGATCGGACCGATCGCAGAGTTTCAGTCGATGTAGCGTGCGATCGGATGTTGAAAGGCTCTTTTTGATGACTCCTGGAGTGGGGTTTGGAGGTTCACGCAGGCCAGATCGCTCGTCAAGAGTTGATGGTCCTCTTTGCGCAAACGGATTTCCAAAACATAGCGCAAAAACATGCGTGCGTTTGCGTAAAAATGCCCCGGTTTCGGCTCCTAAAACAGATGCACGGAACATGAACTATATCGCGGATTGATCGAGGGGGTGGGTGGTGAAAATCCCGACTTGTTTGCGCCGAAGAAATGATGTTGACATCCTCACTTCCCTTCCCAGCTGGCCGCCATCTTGTCCGTGCTGTCATCGGGACATCAGGGCGGATCCGAACGCGTCAGATCCCGCCCCGGCAGGAGAGGGGAGGAGTTTGTCATTTTAATCATATGGCAAAGAGTACATGCAATCAGCATTCAGCACTGTATTTAAATTCTTCTTCTTCTTCTTCTTCCTCTTCTTTTTTTTGCTTCACCATATTTTGTCAGGTGCGTCCACTCCTCTTATCTGCACTACTTTTAGTGCACATCTATTTGATTGTGACATTTAATTTACTTTCCTTGGTCACACTTTAGTTTAGGGACAAATTCTCACTATTAACTACTTGCTGCTATTAATAGTTAGTAAGGTAGTTGTTAAGTTAGGTATGGGTATAGGTTTAAGGCATCTAAAATATGGCCATGCAGAATACGTCAATGCTTTTTAAGTACTAAACATCCAATAAGCAAGTTACTAGTAAGAATTGGTCCCTAAACTAAAGCGTTACCCTTTAATTTTCCTTTAATATATGCTAATTTTTTAAATATATTTTTAATAGTTTGTATATTAAAATAAAATTCATATTATTTAACATTGCTCAAAAAAAGATCTCCACTGATTCTGCACAGATAGAATATTTTTCTGTAATTAAATTTTTTTTTTAAAATCACATTGCGAAATAGCGACACCTTTTGGCGACAGAGGAGCAAGCACTTTAAACTGCAACAATCTTGATTACCACTAGATGTCGACGGTGGTTTATTTTTTTAATTGATTCCCCATCTCTTCACATATTACTGTGATTATTTTGTACTCATACAGATATGAACTATAAACCCATTTAAGTCAATGACAGTTTTTTTTTTTTTTCAAAGAGTCACACATGAGCATTCCTCATTGTAAACACACCCATTTGATCTTTTACGTTTCGATTATTTGATTGATTCGGGATTAACACACAGAGAACGAACACTTTTCTTCCCCCCCTGCATTTCAGAATATTATTTGCTTTGCATAAAAGCTGAACTGTATGCCTACTCACTTTGTCCAAGTCCATAAGCTAGTCAGTTCAACTCTTTATCTTCAGAATCTCTATTTACTGGAATGCTCGGCTGAGCTTCACCTCCTGAGGCATCAGATACTGCTTCAGCCAGGCCTTATGCTGAGAATAAAAACCTCCTAATCCTCAAACACTCTCAAATTCCTCCAGAGGGGCTCTTCATCGCAAATCTGCTCAATTTTCTTCAAAGCTCACCCAGACCTGTGAAAACTGGGTGGATATTTAGTGAGGACCGTTCAAAACAGGCTTCAAGTGCACCACCCTCGAACCAATATACCTCCTGCACACACCGCTAAAGCAGCATGTGGATCTGTAAAATGCGGGTTTACAGGCCGATAATAAAATGTAAAGTTTTCCACAAAATGGGGTGTCGTGTCAATCACTTACAATGTTTACAGACCAATTCCCTGGCGCTGCTTATCTACTCTTGGGCCTGAGCAAAATGCTTCTATTGCCCTCTTTCTTTCCTCGATTTCCCTCTCTGCCACACACCCTTAAGATTCACCCACTCTCTGTGCGACAGTGACTGAGTCCATTTAAAGAAAATGGCTGCATTTAGCCCGATCATGTCTCTATTAGATTAGGGACATCTATAGGTCAATTTTAGACTCATTCACAGGCGTCACAGACAACAGAATGGGTATCAGAGGTTAATTATATTTTAGAAAGGCAGCATGAGGTGTACACTTCCCTACAACAATTGCTATGAAGACAGACTATGCAGATGTTGCTCTTTGAAATACAAAAGCAGACAAATATGTCTAAATAAATATAAATAGAAAATAATGTTTTATATGTATATACACTACCATTCAAAAAGTTTGGTTTGAGATCCTTTTGTATTTTTAAAGGGGTCATATAATGCGATTTCAAGTTTTCCTTCCTCTTTGGAGTGTTACAAGCTGATGTGCGTGTGTGTGTGTGACAGAGAGTGAGAGAGAGATCACAGTGGAGTCAGCTGTCTTAACCGTGGCTTGTGTACTGCAAACACATACCAGCTTCATCACTGTGTCTGTCACGCGACTCTGTTCCCCTTTCGGGCTCTGTCTTTACATTTATTTTGAAAGCTGAAGCTCGCGATTATGGTAAGGGGGGTTACATTTCCGACGAGTGCTTGCGGTGTTCGGCGAATCACAATGCACTGGGTCAGCTGGCCAATCAGAGCAGACTGCGCTTGTCGGAAGGAGGGACTTTGTAGAAAACGAAGCGTTTGAGAGAGGCGGGGCATAGAGGGCCTACAATAATGTACAGTATTTGAAAAATAATGTGTTTTTTGAACATTAAAGCATGTCAACATATTCTGTTACACCAAATACACAAAATAATGATCTTTAAAAAAGCATCATATGACCCCTTTAAAATTAGTCTCTCATGCTCACCAAGGCTGCATTTATTTGATCGCAAATATAGTAAAAACTGTAATATTGTCAAATATTATTACATTTTAAATAACTGTTTTCTATTTTAAAATATCATTTATTCCTGTGATGGCAAACCAAAGGCAAAAAAAAATTAAATAAATAAAAAAGGCACTTGAATTGCCTCTTTGGGTACAAATCTTAAAGATACAACAGGTATCACATTAAAATATATTTCAGGTTTTATTGTTTTTTTTTTGTTTTTTTTACATAATGGCTATGGATATTCCAATAAATGAATAAAACTGAGAGGCAGAAAACTTTTTTCTTATATGTATCCAATCTGTGGACCTCAGAGAGGCAGCTGGTGTTGAATCTTTTGCTTTGAGCTCATACTTTGATGTGTATCTCCCATCAGTTCTGTGACCCAGAAGTGAAACACAGAGTGACCTCAGTCACAGGAAGATCACACTCAATATTCTGTCACACTTCTAGCATACACCAGCCCTCCAGCAGTAGAATATACATTGTAAAATAAAACCTTCAGTCATATTTTTGGTGCAAAATATTATTTTGTATACTGAGATTTGTTGTGCTGTTACACAAACAAAATGCTCAAAATATGTTTCCTATTCAATTACAGCCTTATTTGTTTGTATAATCTCAAAACATGGTGTTTTTGCTTTAAAAGAGGCAGAAAAGCCAACTCTTTATATTCAGAGATTAACCTTCCCGTTCTCTGCATGCTTAATTGATCTATGGTGTTACATTGTGGGCCATCAGTCTTCAGTAGAGCCTAATTTATTATGTTTGTGTGTATGTGTGAGTGCATCCATGCATATGTACAGGAGTATGTGTGAGTGTGCAAGATAAGTCTCTTACTAAGACACACTGCACCATGAATCACTGTGCTGCTATGCCGAGGATCTGAGATGTCATTGTAATTAATGGTAATACAAGGCAGTGGAAACAGTAGCAGACCTCCGAGCTCTTTAATTAGCTGCAGTGATGAAGGAAGACACAGAGCAGAACAAGAGGCTTGCGATGGTGATGAATAGACCGATGCTAGGAAACACCAAAAGTGCCAAGGATCCAGAAAGATCCCACCGACAAGTCGTGTTGCCCTGTCATGTTCTAAACGGGAAAAAATGGACAAGAGACCCTGGAAAGGACCAGAATCTCTGACTCAAAGCAATGTGGCATTGTTCATCACATTATGGTTCTGCATCAAGGCGAAGGGAATTGGGAGAAAAATTATGGATGCTGTGGTGGTATTTTGCTCAACAGAAGATGCACAGCTAAAGGGCAGCGGTACCAGTGTCTTAGCATGCTCATGTTAAGAGGCATTCGTCATTGCCAGGGGTCCTACAACTTAATTAAGCTCCCAGAGCGGCCCCTCTATGGGAGATACAGTTTAATCTGCATCACCAACCACACTGCACTGGGCTTTCCACCATCCTGGACTACACTTCAGTACAGTCAGAAAATGCCTACTGGGCAATGTAGTTCTGCTTTACTACAGTTCACTATTTCGTCAATTATAGTACACAAATTGTGCTATAGGCATGTAAACATTTTCACCACAAATGGGATCTAATTATATCATATTTCATGTTGTACAATGGTTAGTTTTGGTCCTCGAATTTGATTGACCAAGCTTGCAAGACTTCTTTCAGTGCTGCCCAGAATCAGCTGATCTTATGCATATCCATTTCCACAAAGCATGTTGAAGCATTGGGAAGATATATGTTAATTAATTGGACACTTGATGGCTATTTTTACAAGTTGACCCATATATACTGAACACAATGTCCAAGCACAAGTCAACTCTGCCAATAGGGGGCACTACAACTGAAAAACCCCTATAACTCCACAACCATTTGAAAAATTGGTATGCACTTTCTTTGTTGGATGTCCTATAATATCCTCTAATACAACTCAGATACTTCAAAAAAACATGGCTGCCAGCAGCCAATCAAATTTCACATCTATAGCAATGACTGCTTTTCTCCATCCAGTTATCTGAGCTAAATAAATCAGCTCATAATCCAGTCGCAACCATTCCATACATTACTGGTTGCAACTGGGGATCAGAACATAAATCACTCCCAGTTTGGATTTTTTTTCCCCCTTAGTAAAATCACATGGCTTTTAATGAGATGCTTTTGACATGTTAGAACACAATTTCAAACTGCACACAAAGTGGTAGTATAATAATCAGATTTTCATTTTGCCAATAATTGTGCTATAATCAAAATTCGTATTTCTTATGAATCCCTGCGCTACAAATTTTTTATTAATATATATAAAATGTTGTCTGCCAATCTCATTTCTAATTACTTGTCTGATTGGCACAAAATTTAGTATGCAATAGTGAGCAAAAAAAAAAAAAAAAGATTCATTTAGGTGGCATTTACCTGACACCTTTTTCAACTAAAAACTGAAAAGTCTTTATGCATTTTGCCTGTTAATTTACACAACAACAGCGTTTGGGGGGGCCTGAAAACACAAACTTTTGAAAACAGTTATTGTCTCTGTGTAAACTACAAAAACGTGAATTTGTGAAAACGGTGACATCATGCGCATGCATATTATGTGTTGAGTCTATAGGTGTGTGCGCAGGCGTGTATTGTTCTTTACAAAGTGACATCGCCAACTACTGGCCTGGCATTCAGACGTTC